GCCTTAGTTTGCATACTTTAAAAATAGGATAATAGTATATGGTTATGAGAGCAGTGAATGCCCAAGCTTGTGAGAATGAAATGACAGTGGCTATAAAGTGCTATTCATGGCCCATTTAGGATGGTGTAAACACATAGGTCTAACTAAGCTTGTTTGTGAAGGCTTGTTGTTCGCAGAGAGAGGCAAATGGACGGTAGGTTGGCTGTCACCAATGACCTCATTTCCTCAATCCAAATAGCATTGTCACTCTAGCGCTGAGCTGCGTTTTGTGACCTCCCAATACGTGAGAAAGGCAGTGGCTATGTTATTATATTGGCAGTGTCATAATTTGAGATTCTGCATGTATTATCCAGCACAAATCTAAATACCAGTGGTCTCTTAGTTAGTAATACAATGTTGAAGACTGAGCCACTGTTGGAAAGTGTGTCAAGCGTATATGGTGTAAGTTAGGACTTGCTCTTGGGCTGAGGGGCCAAATCAATTGACAAACATTTATTGGGGGCCAACTTAGTATAAGTCATAATTTCCTACCCTCAAAAAACATGCGTGCTAATCATTAGAGTAGGAAACACATGTGTGAACAATTAAATAATATATTTAAATAAAATATAATATTAAAAATAGGTGTGTGTGTATATATATATATATATATATATATATATATTATTTATTTTTTAGGAAAAAAGAGTTCATTCGTTTATCCTTCCAAACTGAACAACAGTACACATTACTGAAAAACACAAATGCATTTTATATTGCTCACTATTTTTTAAATAAATATAATTCAGATATTAAGGGAAAGAACTGCTCATCACATGAATGCATTGCAGAAATCAAAAATAACTTACCACACAAAATAAATTAAAACATTAAATATTAACCTTTTCAGTGCAACATACACAGAAGACAGAGCAACAAGCACTAAAAAAAAGCATCAGCTTTGTTATAATAAAGATAACGGAAAACTGAAGACTTCAGGAAATTATTACACTAGAAAGAGGGGTTGTTTTCTGTGTTAGGGGCTGTGGGATGCAGATGACAATAGTTATAGTCATGGTGACAATAGCTAATACTTTTTCAGAGCTGAATTTGTGCCCGGCTTTATACATGTTAACTCCGTAAGTCCTTGCACAGTGAGCTGAGTGGCCTGCAGTCCCAGGAAACCGAGACACCTGATGTCGAATAACCGAGCTGTGCCGTCACATTCTAACAGCGGAAGAGGCTCACTAGTGCACAACTGTAGCTTAGAGTTCTCTTCACAGCTAGTTTCTCAATAAATGTTGGTTCCCATCCCCTCGTTTTTCCTTTTCTGTGTGTCCCCATTACTAGGATGGGTTTACCCTGCTGATACCTGATCAGTAGCGTTATCTTTGGAAGCTGAAGATAGATTGTTTTGTGGCACTGGTACGATCGTGTGTGAAATTTTCTGTCCCCTTCATTTACGCTCAGCCTGATCCGCCTTGTACAGACCTCCGAGCCCACAGCCCCAGCGGGCTGAGCAGCGGAGCCCAGGGACAGAGGTTTGCTCTTCTGCCTGCTCTTCGTCCGTTGTAATCCGATGCTGCTTGAATGTGTAACTGAGTTATTTTGTGAGACCAATGTTCTCTGTTGATTAAAAGATTTCCCATTTTGAAAAACCCTTTCTTTCTGTCCCTGAGCTTGGCAAACACCCTTTTCCTGCCTGGCCACTCAGGTGACTAGTCACTGTCATGGATGACTTAGGCTGGCATTAAGAAAACATGTCCTTTTTGTTCTATAACAGAAAAAGATGACCCGGAAGATAAGCCCATCATTGACCATTAAGTCGGTTCCAAATTCCAGAGCCCAAGAAATGTTAAATGGTAGAAGCTCCAGTCTGAAGCTGCCTGGGTCAGAGGCAAGCCTGATGCTTCATCTGTGCCCAACCCTTGGGAGCCATTCGCGATGCCCAACTTTCACCCCAGATTACAGGAACTCCCATCAGGCGTGGACCCAAAAAACCACAGATCTGTTACTGAGTTAAGTGCATTCCTACCGCCTGGCTAAATCCTACGGTGCATTTTTCATGGAAAGAGGTTACCTTGGCAAGATACAAAAAACCACAAATTACACCACCTCGATTCAAAGGCTGACACCCATTCCCACCTCCTTGGTCCTCTCTTCCCACTATCACCCAACACAAAGAACAAGCATGGTGTCTCTCTTGGGCATCATGAATGGCACGCAAGGGTTGGACCTCGTACACCCAGACCTCCTCATATGCACGGGACGACATAGTCACATACACTTCAGTGTGGAAGGCGCACAGATTTCTCAGAATGCAGAAACATTTTCTTTCTAGTGAGATGGCCAGAGAGTTGTGTAAGAGGCTTGGAGAGGGAGGGAGAGGGGAGGGTTTACATCTCCCCACTGACCGCATTCCTTTCTGAAATCCGAGGCACTATCCTTTGAAGCTCCCTTAAGGAATAAAGAGCCACATTGAGCTCCAGGGTTCTGTACCTTGACTCGGGGGCCTTAGAGCCCAGCTGCTTTGACATGAACGGGACGGGACACCCGGATGGAAGGCGTAAGGAGATGGAGTTGGGAACGCTCTCCTGAGCCCCAGTGGAGTGCTCTGATGCTGGTGACCAAGGCCGGGCCTCTGGTGGGATCCGCTGGGTCTGTTCTGAGGTCCTCTTTATGAATATCTGCATCTCCATGTAGGGAGGGCTGAGGGGACCTTTGCCAAATTTCTTTCTCCGGTTTGATATTGAGCTGCCAGGAGTCATCATTCAGAGAAATCCTGGCTGTAAGAAATGCTTGAAAATGAGAGCTATGGAGGCTGACAGGGTCCAGAAACATTCCAGCAAGTATACTTACAAGGAAACATAAGGCCAGATGACCTCCCAGGATAAGAGGGGTAGTTCTGAGCTTCGGCTGTGGCTGGCCGCAAGTAACGGGAGGGGACGGAGGAGACTGTTAATGGAGTGGAAATCTCTGGATCTCCAGAGGACTCAGCCCGTGGATGCCAGATGTTGATTTGGCGGGTCGCTGGTAATTCTTAGCACCCCAGTTCCCAGACTGAGATGTAAAGGTTGTGAAGGGATCAACAAGAAAACTAATTTCTGGCAAGGAGGGTATAGCTCAGTGGTAGAGCACGTGCTTAGCATGCACAGGGTCGTGGGCTCAATACCCAGCACCTCTGTTTAAAAATAAATAAATAAATAAACTTAATTAAAAAATAAATAAGTAAACCTAATTAAAAAAGAAAGAAAGGAAAGAAAACTAGTTTCCACAAGTCTCTGCAGAAGAGCAGCGCTGTGGTTGGAGAGCCAGATGTCTTTGCTGTTGACACCTGTAGAAGCTGTTAGGAGCCCTTGGCTTAGGTTGAAAGAAAACAGAGTGATTCTTGTGAAACAGGTTAGCAGACCGGTGAGGAGAGGATCGTTCGGGAGGGGAGGCAGGAGATGGAGATGCATGGTTTCGAATCTAGCAGCTAGTGCCCAGAATTTGAACCATCAAGGGACACCTCTCTATGTTCTTTTTAACGTGGCTACAATCAGACTCACCATCCTCAGACCTTCAGCAAATCAAAACACAAAACATCTGTTCCTTTCCCGAGACTTTCCCAGTTCATTAAAATGCTACCCCTGCCCACTTGTGTAGATCCCGAAATCTAGGAGTGATTTAAAATTTTTTGTCACTTTTTCCTCTCCCCACCTATGATGTACATTAAATACCCCCGCTCCATCTCCTGTTCCTCTTCTGCTACAACCCTGTGAGCCTCCACTAGTCCTCCTCACTGGACACCGTTGGTTCGTTCATTCTTCCTTCCTTCCTTCCTTTCTTTTTTCTCTCTCTTTTTAATTGAATTAGTTGATTTACAATGTTGTTTTAGTTTCTGGTGTACAGCATAGTGATTCAGTTACACATGTTCTGTACATATTCTTTTTCACTACAGGTTATTAAAAGATATTGACTGTAGTTCCCCATGCTATACTGTAGGACCTTGTTGTTTATCTATTTTATATACAGTAGTGTGTATCTGCTAATCCCAAAGTCCTAATTTATCCCTCGCCTCTCCTTTCCCCTTTGGTAACCATACGTTTGTTTTTTATGTCCATGAGTCTGTTTTTATTTTGTAAATAAGTTCATTTGTGTCGTTTTTTAGATTCCACATATAAGTGATACCATGTGATATTTGTCTTTTTCTGCCTGACTTGCTTCATTTAGTATGGTAACCTCTAGGTCCATCCATGTTGCTGCAAATGACGTTATTTCATTTTTGTGTGTGTGTGTGGCTGAATGGTACCTTTGGTCCATCCTTGCCTCTGTACATCGCATCTGCACACCACCCAGAGTGGAGGCAGCTTCTCCACTGGCTTCCCTTTGCACCCTCAGGGAAGGCCTGGCCTTGGCTTACGTCCTGTGCCCGTCCCGCTGTCCCTACCCTGTGCTGCTCTGGCTGCCTGTGCTTGACTTGCTTTCTTCCACTCGGTCTGCTCCTGCTGAGTCCTGCCTTGGGTCTCGCTCACAGCCTTCTACCTGGAATACACCTCTTCCCACTTTTCTCCCCGCTGCCCCCAACCACTTTTCCCTCCGCATCTGTCGTTCAGACTTGAGCGCAAGCGTCTGCTTCTCAGAGAGCCTTTCCCTGCCTTTTTAGTGGGAAGCAGCCTCCCCGTCCTTCCCTGTCACTGTCCCATCACTCTTCCTTATTCTCCAGGGAGGGCTCCTTACTTTTCAGTACCTGGCTTTGCTTGTTTATCGTTGGATGGCACACCGGTCTCTCTCCCCGAGAACGTCGGCTTCACGAGAGCAGGGACCCTGTCTGTCTAGGCCCAAACGGCGCTGATTCAGAGGGAGAGCACGTTAAATATCCGTGGAGTGGAGGACTGAAGCTGCATCACTCAAACAGCTTGGAATATGCATGGATGATGACCCCTGCCAGTGGAAGCCATCCACGGTGCCCACATTGTTGGGCTTCCTTCCTCTTTCCTGTCACCCTGGGCTCTGACGGCCGGTCTTCCGTTCCCTTGCAGCCGCCCATGCCAGCTTCCTTTCCCGTCTACGGCACAGCAGCACAGCCCGATGTCCTCCCAGAACTCCTCCGTCAGCGGGCCACTGCACTCGGTGTCCCTGCCACTTCCGCCCCCGATGACCCTGGCCACCCCGCAGCCCCCGCCCGCCGCCTCCCCCAGCCAGCAGCTTGGTCCGGATGCATTTGCGATCGTGGAGAGAGCCCAGCAGATGGTGGAGATCCTGACGGAGGAGAACCGGGTGCTGCACCAGGAGCTTCAGGGTTACTATGACAATGCCGACAAGCTCCACAAGGTACGTGACTTCCCGAGGGGAGGGGAGGGAGAGGTTGCTGTGGAAAGGACACAGTTCCTCACCTGCTCATGAGGGGTGGACTCACTGACTCCCTTGCCAATGTTAAACTAGATCCCATTTTATGCCAGGCACTGTGCAAGGCTTCAGGGAGA